TTATTTAAATAAAAATCCAAATTTCGAATTTACACAACATCTAGACTAGGAACAACTCAAATTATTAATCGTTCAATGGTAATTAATATGTGTACAAAGAAAGTAGAACTTTTGATCAGATTTCTTATATGGTATTGTGTGCACATATAAAGTAAAACTTTTGACAACAACAAAATTAACTCAGTTTTATTCACATCTATACATATATCATTCCTTTTGAAGAAACGTGAAATGTGTATCACATAAATATGTGGAGGCAATATATATATATACCAAAGAAAGGGCTCAAAATGTTATTGGGTTTTATTATTTTAAGATGAGATTGAAGAAAATCTAACATATAAATTGAAGTGTGGAACTGTGGAGTGTGGATATTTATGTGTGGGGGAGAGTATGCAAGTTGCGTAGGGACCAAAGCATGTGGCCATCCTTTTTTATTTAATTTTGTTGTCCAACATTTTGTTTTCAGATGGCCCTTTTTCCCCTTTTGGGCTCCACCTGCATTTGCTTCAACAGTGTGTACATTGTTATATANTTTTAAGAAAGGATAAATATTATATAAATAATTAAAAAATCAGTATAAATTCTAGACTACACTTTCCTTTAGATTTACCTAGCTAAGGGAAAAATTAATAATTAACTACAAATTAACAATACACTCCCTTTTTTCGTGCACATGTCAGGAGACAAACTATTCTAAAAAATAAAAAATAAAAAATATAAATAATAACTATTTTAAAAAATAAAAATAAAATGAGTCACAATTTTATTTGACTCGTTAAGGCTAAAAAATAGAGATTTTTATGTATTAGTTTGTCATCGTTGGACTTATAAAGATTAAAGTTCGTCTCGGTAATATTGATATACAAGTCGAATTCGAGCTCATTTTGTTAACAAGCCGATCTTGGCTTGGCTCGATAAAGGCTTGAGTTCGAGGTATCGGAAGCACGAGTTTGGCTCGACTTGTTTACACTTCTATCTTAGACGAATATATCCGCTTTTGTGTCCGGCTCGTTAAGGTTCGAGTTCGTCTCAGATTATTAGATAAACAAGTTAAACTAAAATTTGTTTAGTTAACAAGCGGGGCCGACCGACTCTTTAGGCTCACAAATTTTAATTTTTTTATGTAATTTTCAAAACTATTACCTTACTTTGGTTAATTAAAGTTTGAGGTCGCCTTATTAATTTAGATAAATGAGTTGATCTTCAGCTCGTTTTATCGATTCACGAACTGATCGGGCTGATAAATGATTTTTCTCTACTTGTCTGAATAAAACTTCGTGCTCGACACCACTCATATACGGCTCGTAAACATCTATGTATATAATTTACCTTGATGGAATGTTAGATTTTGCAAATTCATTCTCTTTTATAGTAATGCAACAAGGTTGTAAATAAGCTAGTAAAAGCCACATTCAACATTAGAATTGTGTTCTGACTTGCTTGATCAAGTTAATAATGCATGTATATGCAGATTAGAACTTTGGGACCTAATTTTACAAACATCTCATTACTCAGTGGGTCACTAATGACATTTTAGTCTTCTCGTGATTTATGAAGACTCCAAACATCTGTCTAAATTTCATGTCAAAATAATGCATTCTCAATGAATTTGAGTTGAAAATTGAAATCCTTTAGTTCTAATCAAACGAAATTTTCTCGAACAACTTTAGATAGATTAATAGTTAAAAGTGAATGATATCTATTATATTGAGATATTAACATCTCTATAACTCATTCTCTATGCACTTGAGAAAAAAAAAACGAAAAGACAAGAAAAAATAAAAGTAAATTAACAAAAAAAACCAAGAAATAAAAAAAGGATACCAAATGGTCAACCACCACCTCAAATTTAATATCATACAATCCTACCAATTACCAACTTCTATGTCTTCATTGTCCACTAAAATGTCGAAACGTGGCACCAAATCCATGGCGAGTACACAATCCTTATTCATACGCGCGAGTGTACGTAGTGTGAGTTGGAAAAAGTCACAAAAGTTACAAGAAAAAGCGCTTGCCTCGCTGGCTGGCCTCCACGCGCCGCGTGTCATTCATTTCCATCCACAAGATTACCATGGATTTCTCTATTGTTCTACAAGAAAACCCCCCTACTTCCCGTATATTACAATTTTACCCCGATGACGTGGCGCCCACATACCCCTTCTTCTTCTCCCTTTTTCTTCAGCCCAACCATAAACCAAACCCACCGATTGGTTTTTTCCTTCACTTCACAATTTTCTCTCCACCCTTTAGGAGTTTGGTGTGCTTCCATATTTTTATTTTTTTTTTTAATTTCGTTTTTTTTGGGCCTTCCCTTTGATTGAATTCATCTTGTTTTTGTCTCGTCACTTGTTTTGTGATAAAGATCCCATCTTTGAGGAGTTACCGTCCATTTTTAGCTCCTTTGTCTGCATACGAGCAGCTAATTTTCTGGTGCTTTTGTTGTTCTCTATAGTTTTTCTTGGAACATAGTTTCTGTACCAAGCCCTGTTCCTATTTTTCTCTCCAGCTAGTTGGGTTTGTTTTGCTCTGGATCGATTTCGAAAAAGTTTTGATTTTCTCTAATGGAGAGAGCAAATATCTCGGATAGAGGAGATTGATTCTATTTTATTTTTTTTCTGGGATTCAGAGGTTCATTGGATTGAAGACACAGTTTGTTGGGGATATTGATGATTTCTGCAACTATGGCTGTACAGGTAGGGTCGATGAATTTATGTCCTTAACAAAGTTCTCAGGTCAATTTGAGTGGATAAAATCTTTATATTTTCAACCCCACATCTGTATTTTTCTTGTTAATTTAAGTTTTGAAAGAGTCTTGTGGGATGGAGGAGAGATCTACAAAAGCGGAAACCTTTTCTACTATGAATTATGTCATGAAATTTGTGGATTAGTTGTATATAACAAGAAAGATACAATCTTGGAAGTTTTGCCTTTTTATATTGCTTTATCTTTGGCTTTATGAATTTGTTGGCAGATGAGAGAACATGGATCATGGGTCCTGTTTGATGATATTTAGTGGCTCTGAGGGTTTTCCATATATGTTGTTCAGCAAATTTGTTTTCCTGTTTAGTGATGTACTTTGAAAAGATGATTGAGACCTCAAAATCACTAAGAAATTTCTGTGTATTTATGATATATATCACAATAGTACATAAACTTGTTAAAGTTTTGAAGTATTTTTGTCAATTGGCATGTCTTAAATTGTGCCATTGAAGGCAATTTCAGATATGAAGCGAACGATAAGCCTGGTCGGTATTGAGTTAGCTAACATTTATTAGTACAAGTCATTGGGTTCTGCAATTATATGGCGTTCAAGTTGTTAGAACACGAATAAATATTTACTAGATTTTACCAACTTGAAGAAACCAACTTGCTTTCTGGAATTAGCTTCTTAAACAGTTAGTGTTCTGCTGCAGGAGGCACATGGATGCAGGGGATTAGACTCTCCTTTGCCAACAAGTGGCAATACTTCATTGGACATGAGTACAACTGTGATTAAGGATACCCAGTCAAAGGAACAGCTTGATAATCCTGGGGATGACTTTTCTCCAAAGGTTTATTCCGCTCTATAATATTGTTCGATTATAGGGAGTCAGTGGAGTGATATTTCAACTCACCTTTGTATTTTTTTTTTCTCCGTTTCTGTATTTATTCATATAGGCGAGGAAGCCGTACACAATCACTAAGCAAAGAGAGAGGTGGACTGAGGAAGAGCACAACAAATTTCTGGAGGCATTGAAACTTTACGGCAGGGCCTGGAGAAGAATCGAAGGTAGTTAAATTTTTTTTTTTTTAAGGACTGCCTAAATTTGTATTTTTAATGTTGTCCTGAGACGATATTCCTCATTTTTCTCAGAGCACGTGGGCACAAAAACTGCAGTGCAAATTCGAAGTCATGCTCAAAAATTTTTCGCCAAGGTCTCTTACAGACTGTTCTTATACATGTAACATTATCTGCCATTATATCTATTATGCCGCCTTTTTCCAGTAAGTCATATCTATTTTATGACACTCGGGTGTGCATTGCATACCATTTCCGTTAATACAGGAAGCTTCTATTATAACAACGATTATATTAATATTTAATAATACCTTTAACACGAAGTTTTGCTTTTGTTCAGGTCGCTCGTGAGACAAATATCGGTGATGGTAATTCCATGAAGCCGATCGAGATTCCACCGCCTAGGCCTAAGAGGAAACCCATGCACCCTTATCCTCGTAAAATGGTTTATCAAGCCAAAACCGAAATTTCGATACCCGAAAAATTTTCGAACGCCATGGAGCAAGAAAACGAGTTACCGACTTCCGTTTTGTCTGGAATTGGTTCGGACTCATCTGATGTGGCGGATTCTAACCGGTCATCAGTCTCGTCTGAAGTTCCTAAACTCGTGTTAGAAAACGAGGATTCGAGTACAGATGAAAGGATAGATATGGTAAGAAATACCTCAATACCTTTTTAGCAGCATCCAAGAATATGCTTCAATGTTTGATATTCAAATTCATGCTTTTGTTTGCTGAACAGGAATTGGGTCTTTCGAACGAGTCTCCCACACAACAAAGCTTGAAGCTTTTTGGTAAGACGTTACTAATCATGGACCCAAACCCGGTCCCGAAAACTTGCAAGCTCGAATTATTTTCAGACAAAAGTGAGGAAAATTGTTCGACTCAGTGGGGGGTCTTGCCTGTAAATCTTACGAATGGCGATTGTATTTGGGGTGTTTTTACACATGCAAATTCTTTTCCTTGGTTGACCCTTTGTAGTAACAATGCATTCGGGCCAAACCCGGAATTGCACAGCCCGACTCCAATAAGAGCCCGATCGTTGTGTGATAATAATAATAATAACAATAAGGAAAACCCGAGTGATAACGAGAAAGAGGGTTCGTTAACGGGCTCGAGTACTACTGATTTACTCGAAGAGCCTTTCGCGTTTGAACAGAAAGGGGATTTGAAATCTTTCTCATCCCACAAATCAAGAAAGAAGAGGATTTCGGGCTTCATGCCTTACAAAAGGTGTTCGGCCGAGCAGCATTCGACCCTTCTAATGGCCGAATGCGGCGAGGAAAGGGAGACACAGAGTGTTCGCCTCTGCTTGTGACAGGTGGCGAGTCGTTGAGGTTCGATAGCTGCTAACCCTGTAATGAAAGGCTTGGTAATGGCAAACTTCGTATAATTCTTTTTTCTTTTTCTTTTTTCTTTCTTTTGCCTTTTGGGTTTGATAAAAGTGTTTTTGTCTTGTGTTAACTGTTGAAATGTATTTTTTTTGTCTGACCTCTTTACAAACTGTGTAGTTCTTGTGTAAACTGCTTCCTTTTTTGTCATGTAAAGTGTATCTTTCGGTTTATGGAAGGGTTTCGGTTCGAAAGTGTAAGTCCAGTCTGGATTGTACGTGGCGGGAGTCGAATAGCATGTAAATTAATGTTCAATGAAATAATGTTGCATAGTTTTGAGATATAACATTGTTAATAAAAAGAGAGATTACACATCTGCAAAAATCATCAGTGCCATTTGAAATTAGGAAGTTGAGTTATGGAGTATTGCTACATCAAGTAGTAGTTCCAAAAGATCCGATCAAAACACAATTATGGCTCCTTGTAAAGCACCTCTTATATTATATTGTTTGTAGTATTTTTGGAGATTGTTGATAACTGGGTATCCAACTCGAGTGGTTCTCAAAGAAAGGCTATTCAGAGTTTTGTTCGCTAATTAATTGTTCAAATCACACAAAATGAGAAAACAAATCAATTGTCCAACTCACAAAACGAGAAAATAAAAGCTAAACATGCTAATCAATGATTTGACGGATGAATTAATGTTAATGAACATGCTAATCAGTGATTTGAGGGATGAATTAATGCTAATGAATAAAAAACAATTGAAAGCAACTATCAAACGAGATAATATCGCAATTAACACTTCTCATCCCTTTTGTTTTGTCATTCAAACTGAATTTTGGTACGGTTTCAAAGATTTGTCAATCTCTTAATGGTACCGACTCATGCTCACCACTATAATAAACCAAACCCACCTATTGTTTTTTCCTTCACAATTTTCTCTCTTCCCTTTTGGTGTTTGGTGTGCCTGCAGATTTTTTTTTTAATTCGATTTCTTGAGGCCTTCACTTTGATTGAATTCATCTCTTGTTGTCTATCTGTTTAGCCCGTCACCTGTTTTGTGTTAAAGATCCAATATTTGAGGTGTTACCGTACATTTTTAGCTCCTTTGTCTGCATACGAGTAGCTCATATTTCTAGTGCTTTTGCTGGAACATAGTTTCTGTAGCAGGCCCTGTTCCTATTTTTCTCTCCAGCTTGTTGGGTTTGTTTTACTCTGGATCGAATTCGACAAAGTTTGATTTTCTTTAACGGAGAGAGGAAATATCTCGAATAGAGAAGTTTGATTTTTTTCTGGGATTCAGAGGTTCATTGGATTGAAGACAGTGTTTTTTGGGGATATTGATGATTTCTGCAACTACTGCTGTACAGGTAAAAAGCTTAGCTCAATGAATTTATGTCCTAGATAAAGGTTTCAGGTCAATTTGAGTGGATAAAATTTTATATTTTCAACCCCACATCTGTATTTTTCCTTTTAACTTGAGTTTTGAAAGAGTCTTGTGGGATGGAGGAGAGATCTAGAAAAGCAGAAACCTTTTCTACTATGAATTATGTCAAATTGTTCCATACTTCCATTCATTTAACAAAGACTTTAACCTTTTTTTCTGAGTTCTAGCGCTCGACTTCCTTGAAATCTCTGTTGAAGCTGAAGCAATTACACTTTCCTCATGTATAGCATTGACATTGTCTAAGGGATTCTCATCCGTACTCTCCACTACTTCTTTCTTGGTTCTTGCAGAAGCTCGTTTTCTCGGTTTTACGAGTCTTTTCCTCTAGAACTCATGCTTCTCCATCTGATATCTCCTGAGGTATCGAGTCACCAACTGTGTTTCTTGAGACAGGTAACAGTCCCTTTTTATTTACCCTATACTCCTGAATTTTCACTAAGTGCATACATGGGAAGGTACTAACATTTAAGTCCCACCTGCATATTCTGCCCAAACAAACAGTAACAAAAATCTAAAAACTTGGTACATCTTTAGTCTTGAACCAATATATAAACACACAGAGTAGTAGATTTCGAGTCACGCTGTATAATGCCAGTTGTAGATTTGAATATATGACCTTCAACTTCAATCTTTTGTGCTAAGGTCTATATTGCGTCTTTGTATATTTAATCGAGAGGATCAAATTGTATAGGTGTATTAATTGTCTGTAAACTTTTTTAATTAAAAGAAGCAAAAAAAAAAAAGGAAGTGATTTAAGCTTCTAGCCAGATAAAATCAGTAAATCTGAGAAATGTGAATCACTTTTCTTTTCCTTTTATTTCAAACTTTCCTGAAATTCATTATAAAGCAGACTTTAACTGAACGAGTATTCATTTTCTAGTTACATGCTCAAATTTAACCTTCAGCAGGAACAATGCAAACTTTTAATCAAAGCGATAAAGACAAGCTGATATCTCAGCATAAATATATCTAGAATGGTAAACCAAAGGAGAAGATGAACCTGGACACCAAAGAAAACTGTGTATAAGACAATGAAACCGTGGATTGAGATTTTCTCAAAAAACCCAGAAATGGATTTTAGGGGGCAGAGCAAATGCTTGAAGGAGTACATAATTTTGATTTTCCTCCATATGGATTTTATTTTAATATTTAGAAAAAGATATTTTGTCCATTGCAAATGGAGCTGGAAGAGTCATTGTTGACAATTCTCCTGGTATAGTGCTAATAATGGACTAGATCAAAATGGCTCAATTAAATTCTAGTGCTTCTTCTATTAGTGAAGTTTCTAGAAAAAAAAATATATATCAAACGGCGCAATGCACCTTGGGTCGCTACGGAAACAGCCTCCTTGTATAATTACAAGGGTAAGGTCTGTGTACAACTGACCCCCCAGACCCCAACCTGTTGGGAATATACTGGGTATGTTGTTGTTATATTTAGAAAAAGATATATATGTGAATTTTATACCCTTCTTCAACCTTGTTTTTCACAAAGTTGCCCCTAGGTAGTAGGTATCCTAATTGCAGGCTTGCCTCTGTTCATTGCTCTACAGTCCGCTGTATACCTTCCCATCATCTCCTTCCTTTTTCTGGGAATACTATTTCTGCATAATTCTTGGATGACATGTTCTCTTTTAATGGCACTGTTGTCTTACATCTACAAATACGGAATTTGTCTCAATAGGCAGTCCTCTTCTATATCTGTGTAGTTATGGAGCTCAGTGTTTGTGCATAATCAGGTGGGGTTGACATATTAGCGGTTATTGAAAAACCAATCTTGGATGAATTTCATCAAGTAGCTGCTGCCAATTAAGCATGGGGCAAGGACAGCTAAGAATTCATGTAAAGGTGATTTCGTGTGTTGCATAGTCTTATATTAATGAATCTGTACAAGTTTTCAACCGCATGCAGCTGTGAGGATGAGTTTTGTTTCGATTCATTGTCTCCTTGCTTGGTCCTTTGTGGTGATTTGTGCCAAATATGTAGATACACGTTTCTTTACAACTAAGAATTCATGTAAAGGTGATTTCGTGTGTTGCATAGTCTTATATTAATGAATTTGTACAAGTTTTCAACCGCATGCAGCTGTGAGGATGAGTTTTGTTTTGATTCATTGTCTCCTTCCTTGCTTGGTCCTTTGTGGTGATTTGTGCCAAATATGTAGATACACCTTTCTTTACAATTGTCTCTGCTGGAATCAGATACTGTTGATGTGTTTGTGTGTGAATAAGTTTTCAATCTATTTTGAATTTGTTATTAATAAGGTCCAGATGAACTGCGTTCTATGATGTGAATTTCATGGGTTGTTAATAGTGGTGAATTGATCTGAAAATTTTTGGTCTTCCTTTTGCTTAAGGAATGTATAAGCCTGAAGCAGAAAACAAGAATCAAGCAATTTTTTATTGTTCTTCAGAAGTTCAAAATTTACTCGTCTCAATTTTATAAAACCCAGCCTGCACGATAAATTCAATTATAATTGTTCGTAATCACTTGCAATAAAAGGGATTGATGCTTTAGTGGTTTTAAACCATTCAACTTATGCTTCTTCTAGTTTCTCTCATGTTTCCATTCCTTCACAGGCGCAAGCTTCTGTATTTCTCGTTCAATTCATGAAAGCATGGTCGAAGTCAACTCCAAAGAGGAAGAAGTCGTAATCGCCCTCGGAAGCAATGTCGGCAACCGGATTCGAAACTTCGAACACGCCTTACAGCGCATGAGAAAATCCGGCATCCAAATAACTCGACACGCCTGTTTATACGAAACAGAGCTCGCCTACGTAATCAACTGATAGGTCGAAAAATGTGCATGGTTTATATATTTTATAGTGTATTTTTATACACTTAATTTATTAGCACGTTTATATTTTTCGACTTATTTATTATTTGAATGGATTCATACACATTGAAGTTTTTATACTTATTTTCAGCTCAATGGAATATTTTCTGTACGCGAAGCATTAGACGGGAGTTTACGTGATTGATTATCGGGCCTCCCATATCAACCCATTTTCGGCAAAAATATTGGTTACGGATGGCAGATTATACAAGTGGCCCAAATTCATGATTAGAGGATTTTGAAATAAAGGGCAATTACAAACATGAGGTGGCGAGCCACGTGAACATCAAAATGGAGATTGAAGAGTTTGCAATTTGTTGGGGACTTATTTGTTGGGAGTCCACTCACGCACAAAACATAACATCGGGGAGGAATTATTTTTTGGGAGAGCGGAGCATACAGAAAAGAAAAGGGAACTCGCGGACATAAAAGAAAATACGCACGGACTGGAAAAAGCACCTTTACACGCGGAGGGAAGCCGCACCCGCACACGAGGGAGATATTTATTCTCTCTTTTATCTAGTATTTATTTTTATTAGTATGATAGGCTAGTATTTTTATCCAGTTTGAGGGGATGTTTGAACCCTAATTTCAATTTGTCTATGAATTGAATGATTTATATTTATCGTTGATTAATCGAGACGCCGTATTTATTTTTGTTGATGAGTTGATTCATGCTATCTGTGTTTAATGTTTATGAATTATGTGTATTTGATTTAGTTTGGCCAGCTACGTTGAATGTTCATAGTTTAATTGCTAGATTCGGGACTTTAATCCGTAATTGTTATTGTCTCGTTTCGTTAGTAGTAAACTAGGGGTCGTGCATCTCTAGGGTAGCGTGAACATAAGTTAAATGGTTCGAGCTTTTGCGTCCATTGCTTAGATCAATCTATTTTCCTAGTAATTAATGCTGCTAGTGTATTAAATCTAGATAGCTTATTCTAGGTTGTCCGCTAGTTAGGTTTAGTCGAAGAGCCTATTTCGATTAAATATTCGGTAAGGAAAAATTCGGTTAACAGGGCTTGTTGTTAGCTAGGGTTTGTAATTCGTTAGCAATTTAAAGAAAGCGTCGAAATTAATTAACGGTCGATTTAGATTGGGTGATAACTGAACCGAAAACTGGGCTTCTCTTATTTTATTAGATTTTTATTTTATTTTTTTATTTTTATTTTTATTTTTATAAAACCAATCCCTTCCATCTTTTATTGCTTTCCTAGTTTAATTCAATTAATACGAAATTATCACGATTTAATTCCTGCTCCTCGTGGGATCGACCCTTACTCGCTGCTACTACTAGTTAGTAGAGGTTAGTCGAGAAAAAAATATAAATTTAAATTTGCCGTGTCGCGATGCGCGGTCATCAACCAACCCCATTTCCTCAACTCCGCCATTCGGGCCAACACAAAGCTCAGCCCGCAAAAGCTCTTACAAACCCTCAAAGAGATCGAACAAGACATGGGCCGGACAGCCGGCATCAGGTACGGCCCACGCCCAATCGACCTCGACATCCTCTTCTACGGTGACCAAACTGTCGACACAGACACTCTCAGGATCCCACACGAGAGAATCTGGGAGAGGCCTTTTGTTCTAGGCCCATTGACCGATGTATTGGGCCACGACACGGAGAATAATGACGTGGCCCGATTTTGGCACGACTCGTCCGGCTTTTCGGGTGGGATTTTCGAGGCGTGGGAGAAAAAGAAATCGGGCCCAGGTGGAATAATGAGGAGGGTTTTGCCAGTCGCGGGTGAATTACGGGATTGGTGTGGAAAAACATGGGTCATGGGTGTTCTCAACTTGAACCCCGACAGCTTTAGCGACAGGGGCAAATTCGCCGACGTGAAATCGGCCGTCGATCGAGCTCGGTTGATCTTGGCCGACGGTGCAGATATAATCGATATAGGCGCGCAATCCACGCGGCCAATGGCGGAAAAGCTCTCTCCCGAGCAGGAACTGAGTCGTTTGATCTCGGTTCTTGATGTCGTTGTGGATTTGCCTGAAATCGAGGGGAAGCTGATATCAGTCGACACTTTTTACTCAGAAGTCGCCTCGGAAGCAGCCAAACACGGCGCTAATATCGTGAATGATGTCTCGGGCGGGAGATTAGATCCCGACATGCATAAAGTGGTGGCGGGACTCGAAATTCCGTACGTGGCCATGCACATACGAGGGGACCCGTCTACAATGCAGAACAGCGAGAACCTGAGTTATGGTGATGTGTGCGCTGACGTGGCACGTGAACTGTGTGAGTGTGTTGGGGAGGCCGAGTTATCGGGACTGCCAGCCTAGAGGATGATTGTGGACCCTGGGATTGGGTTTTCCAAAAATACGGAGCAGAATTTGGATATAGTTAATGGGTTGAAGTATATCAGGGGTGAGATTGGGAAAAGGAGGTTGGCCGTGTCACGTGTGCCCTTGTTGTTGGGGGTTTCGAGGAAGAGGTTCTTGGGTGAGATTTGCAGCCAGCCAAACGCGGCACAGCGGGATGCTGCTACCGTGGCTTGTGTGGCGGCTGGGGTTTTTGGGGGTGCGAATATTGTGAGGGTGCACAATGTGAGGGATAATAGGGATGTTGTTAGGGTCTGCGAGGCGTTGATGCGGAGAAGGAAATGAGACTTGTTGTTTTGCTTCTGTTGAGGTCCATGAAAAGGGGATTAGAGAATGATTTTAAATACTGTTGTTCTTGTGTGTTTGGTTGATGGGCTTGTGATCAGATATGGATGTGGTATCAGCTTCCTGAGTTCTCTGAATTTGAAATAATTGATAAAGATCTCATCTTTTTCATCTGCTATGAGTACCCATGTAATTTTTTTTTTGTATTTTTTCTGCTTAAAGTTGCTTGACTGAGATATTTTGATTCAAGTATTTGAGTTATTGAGTTATTTTGGCTGCTTTCTTTGATCTTCAGATACCCGATTCGACAAGCAGTTTACATGGTATGATTAATGTATGTATCTTAGACTTATGTTTTTTTTTCAGGAGATGAGATGACAAGGGTCATCTGGAAATTTATTAAAGACAAGTTATAGTCTGTAGTATTATTTCAGCTTGATCCCATATTTCTGTCTATTTAAATTTCGAAGCTGAAATCTTGGGGTTTTATTGCATTGATTGATTGCAGTTGATTTTCCCTTTCTTGGAGTTGGATATAAAGTACTTTGACCTCGGTCTTCCTCATCGTGATGCCACAGATGATAATAAAGTTACTATTGAGAGTGCTGAAGCTACTCTCAATATTGATGTTGTATTGCCTTATCAGCCCAACTGACTGACTGGACTATTCTATATGTATGTAGGTATAATGTAGCGATTAAGTGTGCTACAATCACTCCAGGTATGAAGCTTGAGGTTATCAAGTGCTATTAATCTGGCTCTATTTAAAATATAGTTGATCATGAAATGGATTGTCATGTTGTGAAGTTTATAAATTACTTTCAGATGAAGCTCGTGTGGAGGAGTTTGGCTTGAAGAGTATGTGGAAGAGTCCGCAACTCGTTTGCAGCTCGAAGTTTCAGATCAGTAAGAAATTAGCTTTGATGATGATCCGCAGCGTAAAGCAACAGATCACAGCTGATGATATTGATTTCGAGCTTTCAGGTGCCAGAATCGCTTGCTCTAGATACCATATTGAATTCAATTTTCGAGGTAAGATATTTTGAGCTAATGTTTATTTCTGGTAAAACTCAAAATGGAAGATGTACAGTGTCGACCTATGTAAAGGTCTTATGTTCTCAGATTACACGCAACAACAAAACGGCATCGTTTTGTTGTGAAAGGAAAAACACATTACACTAATAGAATCACAAACTCGCTTATGACTAATAAGCGGCTAATAAAAGCAAAAGAAAAATAACAAAAGAAAATAACAAAGCAGCAACACGATAGCAGCATGATGAGATGTCTTCACAAGCCATGCACGATCAAACACAATTCCAACAATATTCCAAGAAGTTTATGAATCTAGCTGGAAATCGAAGTTTGAGGAAGCAGGAATATGGTGAGAGTTTCTGTTCTTAAATTTTCAGAGGGATACATTCATTTTAAGAATTTGATGATAAGTTTTAAGAATGATAGAGGAACAAAAGGAAATCAAATGTCTTGTATAGACTTCATGATTCATGATTGGGTAGACAAGGCCTAGAATCTATGATCTAGACAAAGGGTAACCTTGCTTGAGGCTTAAATAAGTTGAATTAAGTAAACACATTAACAACACCAATCTCAATATTCATGTCAAAGATTACATAAAAAGGAGAAATCGACCATATCAGTGACTTGCATTACTGATATCGATTTTTTTACCGTTGAAAAATTTAGTGACTGCTTTAGTGACTAGAGATCAACCACATAAAAGAAATATGTTTTTATCTGATTTAACTGTCTGTTATTATTTTGATTGATGTTGATTAGTCAATTTTGATTGTTTCTCAGTGGCTCATCAAATTCTATTTGCTAGCTAGAAGCTAATAGAATTTTGGAAAAGGAGATCAGGCAAGAAACTAAAAAGAGTAATGTAAATCTGCAATACCCTAGAGCATCATAACATTCACTGACAAATGGAGACGAAAATATCACACAAAAAATGGTCGATATGATGGCAATATGTAAAAAAAAAATAGTATGATTTATTTTTGTAAAAATTTAAAATTTGGTGGCAATCAATTGATATACATAAGAGTCGTAAGGACTACTACCAGCTATTCTTATTAGACACGTTGTTACTTTTAGAATAGAGTAAATAAAAATTCGGCATAATGTGCAGTTCATTTTTTGTTCTTTTTGCACTTTTGCTACAGCTACAGCTACACTTTCAAACCCTCGTGGAATAGAATGCAGCACTTCCAAACCATCATGGAATAGAATGCACACTCAAGTACTAAACTTCATTTTATTTGTCCAACGAGTTTGGAGGCATTTTAGTTTCTACTTTCTACATCTATTTAATTCAGAAAAAAAAAAAAATGCATTTTGTGGATAACTTAACCTTTTTACTTTGTTTTGGTTATATGTTGCATGCCCCGTTTGATTATAAGTCAATGGCCATTCAATATCTTAAAGATTAAAAAAGATCATATAAAATTGTTCATTTAATTTGTAGGAAATTTCTTCAAATATTAAAATCGGATTAGTAAATATCATATTATTGATTTTCAATTTTTTTTTAATATAAAAGTTTACATAAAATTATTATTGTTTTAAATATTATACTGAAAATCATACCAGACAAATCAACTTTATAATCGTTCAACTGGTTTTATCACCCATTTTATTGATTTTATAAAAATATTAATGAAATTACTACAATAATATAAATAATAAATAAAAACCAACTTCACTTAATGCTAATATTGTTTAAAATTAAATAATGATATAGACAAATTAAAATTAACTGTAGAACTTTAATTTATGTAAATAATATGAAAATAATTTTATTTTAAAATTAAGTAGAAATTTAAAATTTTAAGTACTTTTATAACATAATATAAAATATTAAAAAAATAAAAAAATTATATAAATAAATTAATAAAAAAGTATAAAGTACTAAAAAAATACAGTATTATTCAATGATAGTATTTTTGGGTGAAACAAGTATAATTAAATATTTTGACAAACAATGTTTAAAAGGTAATCGTATAAATTGGAGCACAATATAATCGGTAATAACATACTTAAAATTTTAAACTATAGTTATAGATTAACGCCATGACGGTTCAACATATATTCGCCTGAATATTCTTTTCCACCCCTTTACTCATTCTGTGGGCATAAAAAATTTATGAGAGAGAAAAATACAAAGACAACGAATTAACCGCCACGTGTCACTAGATGCTTCCCGTTTTCCTACATCCACCCCACAATTTTCTCAAATTTCTCTGATTTCCCCAAACTCCCCATTTTTTAAGGCCATCTCACTCGTCTCCCTTCCCCGTACGTGCTATTTCTCTTCCTCTCCTTCAACAGGCTTCAGATCTTCAATTTTGAAGTTTGATATCGATCTCAGTCTCTAGACATGGCTGCCGCTGCTGTATCTCTGAGCTCCGCCGATGCTGAGAAGCTCGCCGCGCTCAAATCCGATGTCGCCACCCTCAATCAGATCAGGTTCTCGACTTTTTCCATCTTATTCCAAATTTGGTTAATTAGAAGCATTTTTGTTGTTCGTAGTTTCGGATCTGAAGTCTGCATCTCTCGTGGCGTTTATTGATCTTTTGATGGTCTTCTTTTTTCAGTGAGAATGAGAAATCTGGATTCATCAATCTGGTAGCTCGCTATCTCAGGTACAGAGAGAAGCATTTTTCACGCTGTTACAATGATGCACTCGTTATGAAATTCCTTTGCATTTTCGAGAGTGATGTTTACTAGAATGAGGATTTTTATATTCACGATATATCTTATGTCGATGCTCGAATCTAAGTGCATGTAGAAAGTGTGGATGGCGAGTGGCATGTGCTTAGATCCTGTTCATCAGTAACTACGAATCGTAGCCTTGGGGAATCGATATTATATATATTTATTTTCATTTGATTGCAGATCTTTCATCACTATGTTGATCTAAGTTTAGTGTTGTCATATATGTTTGGTGCTAACTGCTAAATCTGGTATATTGTTGATCTTTATTTTGTGGTTGGACTTGAAGTGGAGAAGCTCAGCATGTAGAATGGAGTAAGATCCAGACACCAACTGATGAGGTTGTGGTGCCTTATGATACCCTGGCCCCTGTACCTGAAGGTGGCATCTCTGATCTTGCATTTTGCTGTTTACCGATTTTAGATTCTTGTTTTGGCTTCTCTATGAATTAATCAATAATTTGAGTGTTGAAAAATTCTTGTTTGATTTAAGTTTCGTCTTATGATACTGTGCTGTGTTTTGGCTTTAATTATATTAATTTTAATGCAGATGCTGCTGAGACCAAAAAGCTTCTGGACAAACTTGTGGTGTTAAAGCTCAATGGAGGCTTGGGAACTACAATGGGCTGTACTGGACCAAAGTATGTGTTTTCATTTACGTACCTCTTAATTTTGATTAATCTGATGGTTTTGCTTTGTTTTAACCGATAAATTGTTGCTTAGTCTTGTATTTATATGTCATTCAGAAGTGTATACTGGCTGTTAATATATTTATAAGAGGGTGTTGATGACTTTAACATTGATTACCAGCAGTGATTACCAAAGTTGTAATGCCTTGACAACTAACAAAGTAACACATAAATATTGTCAATTGATTAATACTTGAATATGTCATATTTTCAGGAGTATTTTTTATTTTAATATGGCGCACTTTTTTAAGTGAAAAATGATTCTCTTTCTTCCAAAATTTCATTTATCGGTATATTTATTAGTGGTATTCTGTGGAGCAGTATTATTTGTTGAGCTCCTAAACTGAATTAATGTCAACCTTTATGGTAATGCTTATTTACCGGAGACCCAACTTGTTTTATAGCTCATGATCATTTTACATCAGAAGTTAAGAAGTGAGTGCAGGAAGTCGTGTGCTCATGCCTTCTTCATTATTGTTGATTTGGAATAGTTGTATATGGCTTGTCCTAATATTCATACATAAATGGAGTCAGTGTGACCTGTTAATCAGTTTGAATTTACCGGGTATTGGAACCTGAGTCATCCCATCCACTGATAGTCTGCTAAACTAGTATCTGACTGTACAGTGATGCTGTTTTAATATTATTCTAAATATATGTTTTTATGATGCAGGTCTGTTATTGAAGTTCGTAATGGTCTTACATTTCTTGATTTAATCGTCATTCAGATTGAGGTAATGCATGCTCTATAATATCTCCTTTATGGTTTACCCAAAGGTCTCTGTAACATTAATATACGTTTATCTGCAGACACTCAATGCCAAGTACGGGTGCAATGTGCCGCTGCTTTTAATGAACTCATTTAACACTCATGATGATACATTAAAGGTGAATTTCTGTAGACTAGACTGGATTTCAACATCTAAAATATTCAGCTAACTTTTCCTTCCCTGGTTGCAAATTGCAGATTGTTGAAAAGTATGCCAAGTCAAATATTGACATTCACACATTTAACCAGGTTTGAGTAGCTCTGTAATTGTGCATGAAAATTATAAAATTAGCACTTCCATAATCCAGTCAAAACATTTAACATCATTAATCTGTAATTTGTTGCAATTTCCAGAGCCAATACCCTCGTCTAGTTGTTGAAGATTTCAAGCCACTTCCATCCAAAGGAAACACTAGCAAAGATGGATGGTATTGTGTGATATTCAGCTATTCCTTCGTGGGGGTGTTTTCGTGATTTTTTTTTTAACTGTAAATGTCATCTATTATTTTGTGAAGGCTGCTGTCTTTTTTCTATTTCCTATCTTTAATCAGCATTTGGTACATTTGCTTTTAAAAAAAATTATATTAGTAGTATTATTAGTCTCATATAACTGTATGACTATTTTGGGTACAAATCTAGCCCTTCCATTTGTTTTTGTAACTTTTATGATTTGCATGTGGAACTTAATTACTGTGAATTACTATATCAATTTTCTGTTTTGCTGATTGGATTTTGCTACTTCAGGTACCCTCCTGGTCATGGAGATGTCTTTCCTTCTTTGAAAAATAGTGGGAAGCTTGATGCACTGTTATCACAGGTCTAGCTCTCTAAGTAATTGTTGTGGTGGGGGTACAACTCCACTACATATTTACTCTGGGATACAATATCAATCAAGCATTACTAAATGAGGCTTATTATCAATTCTTATTGTGTTTTCTTCTTTCAGGGCAAAGAATATGTCTTTGTGGCCAACTCAGATAATTTGGGTGCTGTTGTTGATTTGAGTATCCTTCCCAACCAGCAATTGGTTTTTCGTTTTATCTTATATATTTGATACTTGTCACCTAGCTCAAGTATGTGACAAACTGTGTTCTTTTATATTTTTAACTTTTATGTTTGTGATCCTTAATTAAGTATCGCAGAAATTTTAAATCATTTGATCAGAAACAAGAATGAGTATTGCATGGAGGTAAGAGATAGATCATCTGATTTTGGTTTTCTTTGAAACAAACTGTTGTTACTGTAGAGCATGTGTCTTTGCAGGTCACCCCTAAAACACTTGCCGATGTGAAAGGTGGTACTTTAATCTCTTATGAAGGGAAAGTACAGGTATTTTGCTAAAAACTGGTTCACTGTTCTGTACCTTTAATTATGGATGCTATTATTGGGGCTGGTTGAATTTTGCTCAAGCCACCTTCAGAATATGGTAGATTCCACTAATTTAAGTACTATCATCCAAGCCTTCCTACATGGGCATATGCCCGGCACTGAGAACTAGGTATCCTATTAATTGTTTAATCTAAAAGTATTCTGGGATTTTGACTGACGTGTTATTATTCTCAACCCAGATGTGTCCTGGTGTAAATTAGTTAGATACATGTCAGTATTGGCATTTATTTCTTGTTTGATTTGGCTCTTCAACAATGATGCTGGTTCATTTGTCTGAATATCTGAATTTGATGTTATTAATCCATCTGTCTATCAGAAGATAACCTTACAACATTGATTTAATCTATTAGTAAAGAATGTTTTCTCGTCCTTAAAACTTGGAGTAAAAAATTTGATCATTGCTTAGTGCTCTTTTCTATCAATTCTTTTTTCCTGCTATAGAGTATGATTATTTTTCATTTAACTTGTAGTGACCCTAATTATTATTATTATTATTTTCAATGATGCAGCTGCTGGAGATAGCGCAAGTTCCTGATGAACATGTGAGCTTTATTTCCGTTGTCACCTTCATATTCATGCTCAAGTACAATGATGCTATTCATTGCAGTTGGTTTTTCGATAATTATATACTCTACTCATCAATGCAGCATTTGTGTATCATTTTCCAAAGTATTTGCTGGAAGTAAATAAAATAGTGAAGTGCTTTGATAATCCCAGTTACATAAAGAGTTATCTCAATGTCTAAAGGATTAGGTCCACAATATTTGTTCATGAAAACTTACCAGCTCCATAGAAACACCAAACACAAATGTTAGTCCAGAAATTATTTCATGTTTGAAATAGTGGGTACGATAGGTATAAAATGAGGTTCAACATTTTCATCTGATTTATTGGGATGCACTGTAACAGCATCACGTAGTACATTGTGACCCACGTTTACTCCTTTTCTCACTTAGTACTATCTATTTTGGTTCCTATTACATTCACATAGAGAACAAAATCATCCTACAATCTGCTTCATTTGTCAAGGCTGATATATGATATTATGTTTGATACAGGTCAATGAATTCAAGTCGATCGAGAAGTTCAAGATTTTCAATACCAACAACCTGTGAGTCAAATCTAAATCTACATTCTACAATCTGCTTATGCTTGTTGGCAACCCCTGACAATGCATCAAAATATGAGGCAGATGGGTCAACTTGAAGGCAATCGACAGACTTGTTCAAGGTGATTCATTGAAGATGGAGATCATTCCCAACCCAAAGGTAACAACCGTATTCTCCTACAGTATTCTATCGAGAAAGTATCTGTCCATTTTGAACCAAAACCAATGTATTTTTTAGGAAGTTGATGGGGTCAAAGTTCTTCAACTCGAGACTGCTGCTGGCGCTGCCATAAAGGTACACTATCCACCTTTTTTTTTTTTGTTGATTAATTCTTAATTCTTGTTTTCTCCAATGGTTTGCTTACTCTGGGTAACTAATTACATTTTCTTCTCTCCATCTGTTTTGCTCACATTTGTTCAGTTTTTCGATCATGCTATTGGAATCAATGTTCCACGGTCTCGCTTCCTTCCTGTAAAAGCAACTTCCGATTTGCTGCTAGTCCAAGTAAGTTTATCTAATTCCAAAGCTCTCATCTGAATCACATCTTTATGCTATTTAATAGAAACCAAATTAATTTTTTTTTTTAATTAATATTATTTTTCGTTTTTGAAAGTCCGATCTATACACCTTGTCTGATGGCTTTGTGACCCGGAACCCAGCAAGGAGCAATCCTGCTAATCCCTCTATTGAACTGGGACCTGAATTCAAGAAGGTTGGGATTCATTGTGGATTTGACATTGCATTAGATTTTGCCATTGTAATGAACCTTGATCTTTAAATTCTATAAAATGGGTCTTTTCGCGCAGGTTGCTAATTTCCTAAGCCGATTCAAGTCTATTCCTAGCATCATTGATCTGGACAGCCTGAAGGTGACTGGTGATGTTTGGTTTGGAACTGGCGTTACTCTAAAGGTATTTTGTTATTCCTTTTAATTTATATTTGTCATCTTTGGCAATATTATAATGGTTTTCAGGTTTATGGTTTTGACTTGACGGCCATATGTTCTACTTTTCTTCAGGGTAAGGTGACAATTGCTGCTAAATCCGGCGTGAAGCTGGAAATCCCTGATGGAGCTGTGATCGCCGACAAGGTAAACATTCTGTGGCATGTCCATTTATTTAAACTTGAATTATCTCCAATAATTAGATTTTTGTTTATTTCTGTTTTTTACTGTGTCCAGGAAATCAACGGTCCGGAAGATATATAATGATTAAGAAGACATGATAACAGACATACCTCTTGAATTAAACCGAGCTTTTCAATTCCAATGAGTGTGTGTGTGTGTGTGTTTTTTTTTTNTACACGTTTCGTTTGAGCATATGAGAAACAAAATAAATGGGATTCCATTATATATGTATGCTTGCTGCGCAACGAGCATTATGAGGAGCAAGCTGGTTGAGTAGAGATTTTTTCCAAGCTTATGTTTTGGAGTCTGGTTGCTAATGTTGCTTTAAGGTTCATTTAATGTTGTTAATCCGGCTGAGTAAAGGTTTTTCTGAGCTGTTATATATATGCATATATTTTGTGTGATCTTTTCTTTCTTATTCTTTTTGTGATTTGAAAGCCTTTTTTCATTCTTAAATCTTTATCCATAATTAACGGCAACTGTCTAAAATTTCTGTAACTTGTGTATAGAAGTTGGTAGGCCGAAAAGGCCGTTGCAATATGTTCCTGGTTGAACTGTGGAGATTTGAGGGGTGAAAATAGGAAGGCCTGTTGATAACACTCCTACACCCCAACCCGATTCTCCTCCGATCCTCAATCGTTTTGAGCTCCCCAAGACCTGCAAAGACACCTCTCGGTGGTAAACTTCCGACGCTCAAGCCAGTAAAAGGTAGACGCTCAAGCCAGTAAAGGGTAGAGGAAAATTGTATGTAATTGTGAGTAGTATTAGGGTTTGTAGAGTGTGATTCCCTTTACCTGCTGTCCCCATTTACCTATTTATATGTAGCTATTTTAGCTTCCTCCATACGTTTTGTTCTTCCTCTGTTGGATCATTTATTCCACTTTGATCTTGACCTTACACGTGTCCTTTGTGGACCGCCTTTCATAATCACCTCCACAAGTCGGTCCTCAGCTTTGTAGAGCATCATCACTGATTGACTTTTCTTAAAAGATCCTTCTGTTATACTGCACAGAGCTATTTCTATGACGAGCTAATGGGCCTCTTTGCTAGGCCGAACTGTTGCTAGGACGAACTAATGGGCCTCTCTGCTAGGCCGAGCTGTTGCTAAGACGAGCTAATGGGCTTCTCTGCTAGGCCGAGCTGTTGCTAGGACGAACTGTTGCTAGGCTGAGCTGTTGCTAGGACGAGCTAATGAGCCTCTATGCTAGGGCGACCCGTTGCTAGGACGAGCTAATGGGCCTCTCCGCTAGGCCGAGCTATTGCTAGGACGAGTTAATGGGCCTCTTTGCTAGGCCGAGTTGTTGCTAGACCGAGTTGTTGCTAGGACGAGCTAATGGGCCTCTCTGCTAGGCCAAGTATTTGCTAGGACAAGCAAATGGACCTCGTTGCTAGGTCGAGCTGTTGCTATGACAAGCTAATGGGACTCTCTGCTAGGTCGAGTTGTTGCTATTCTTACTATAGCCATTATCGGTCCACGAATTAAGCTTCATTCTGTTCGGTTTGTCGAGCTATTCTCTTATGCTATATCACCTGTGACATAAAAGATTAGTCAGACTCGCCTCATCTTTTGTATGACAATCGTACTGAGAAGTAACTCATGAAAACCCTTTAGCGCACTTGCGATGCATTAAGGAATCAATCTGGTTGCATTCATCAAACGTCGCGTGGGTACGATGTGTGACTGTGATGAGATGAAGATCGTGTCTTCCAGACTTGTTTTACGTAGAAGCGCACACTAACGACCTTGTTAATCACAATAGGTCTCCTTGTTAATCACAATAAGTCTGTGAGATCCCACACTAACAGTCTTGGATAAATACAACAGAGTTTTTGCTTGCTTTTAAGAATTTTTTTTTATTGCTTTTTCCCAAAATCGAATGAATAACACAAGTATTTAAAAGAAAACACCACATAAATATAAGGTACAAAGAGCATGTTTGTTTATGAAATTTTTCAAAAAAAAGTCAACATTTTAACTCAACCAACTTTTTTAACTCAACTTTAACTCAACCCCCACTATCATCAAAATTATCAATATAATTAAATAATGGGTTTAATGCACCAAACCCTCCTGTATTATACTAAATCTGCGTGTTGCCCCCTCTAATTTAATAATTGTGTCATACCCACTTCTATTAAGGTTTCAGGTGCACACGCTCCCTTATCTCTATTTCTCGGCGTTAGTTTTTCTTCAAAAGTCCCGTTATACCCTCTGAATATTATACATATATTTACGATATATTGAATATATAGCGAGAAATTGAATTAAAAAAAATTGCAGCCCTTAGGATTCGAAACTGATACCTCATGGGAGCAAGACAAGCAATGCAACTACTACACCACTCAAGGTTGAGTGTTAGAACTAGGAATGTTTGATATATATGGACATTGTTATGGATAAGTGAAATTAAATTTAGAATATATAAATTATATTAAATTAAATTATTAAAATATAAAGTTATGATAATTCAAATATAATAAACTAAATTATATAAAATTAAACGAAAAAAATAATTTAAATAACTTATTATGTTAAACGAAAAAAAATAATTAAAATAAAATATAAATAAATATAAAAAATTGTACTTAAATAATAAATAATATAATAATTAAGTAAATCTATATATTTATAAAAGATTTTAAAAAATATTAAATAGTATAAAAATAGTTAAAATAAATAAATACGAATCATATATAGCTATTTAATAAAAAATGTTTTATTTTTGAAATTATACTTTAATAATATATTATATATATAAGTATCATTTAATTTTATTACAAATTTAATTTAATTTAATTTATCATTTAATTTTATTATAAATTTAATTAATTAAATTAATAATTAATTTTATTATAAATTATATTTAATATAATTTATACAAGTTATATTACGTCAATTCATTAAAACGTATATTGAAATTTTATACTACAATTTATTTTAATTTTAATTATTAATTTATTAAAAGGAAATTATCATTTTGTTTTTATATTAAATAGTAATGTATTTATTAAGAGTAAATCATATTAAAATTATTTGATAAATAATATTTTTTATTATATTATATTATATTAATTTCAGTTCTTTATTTATTTAATTTATTATTTCATAATAAGATATTTGATTTATTATTTATTTACTTTATAATGTTTATACTTTATTATCTTATATAATTATTATTTTTATTTTTCTCTAATTAGTTTATTTTAGTTTTATTTATTTATTAATTTTATTTTTGTATTTATTTTTCTCATTTAAAATTTATTTAATTATAACTTTATTTAATTTTAGTTCACACTAATACGTTAAATTTTATCTTACTTTATTTAATTTATTTTTTCATTATTTTAAGTTAATTTAATTTATTGAAAGTTATTAGTATTATTATTATTATTATTAATTATTTAATTTATAATAAATTGACATATTATCTTTTTATTTTATTTATTTACTTATTTTTAAACTATTTAATTCATTTCAGTATGATGTATAGATATATTTATGTTCAAAAGATTACACATCCATTCATATGGCCTAGTGGTTGAGCGGCTGTTCTCTTCCTTTCCAACCCAGGTTCGAATTTTGTTGCCCACATTTCATTCCATTTAGGTTTTGCACATAATTCAAGGGTAAAACAGTAATTTCCGCCACTTTGGGGTGAAAAATAAAGAAAAAGCCGCACTTTGTTGCCCACATTTCATACCATTTAGGTTTTGCACAATTCAAGGGTAAAACAGTAATTTCCGCCACTTTGGGGTGAAAAAATGAAGAAAAAGCCGCACAGCACGCGCGTGCACGCCACTTCCGTCATCTTAGACGGTTTAGGGTGTTTCGCGCATCCAAAACCTTAATAGGAGGGGAAAACAGTAATTTCCGCCACTTTGGGGTGAAAAAATGAAGAAAAAGCCGCACAGCACGCGCGTGCACGCCACTTCCGTCATCTTAGACGGTTTAGGGTGTTTCGCGCATCCAAAACCTTAATAGGAGGGGGTCTGATGCAATTTTTAAAATACAGGGGAGAAACGCGCAGATTTAGTATAATACAGGGGGATTTGGTGCATTAAACTCATTAAATAATACCAATTAATCATTCATACACACCACATCAACTTTAATTCACTATTCATCCACTCACATTATTTCAACTAACCATCACTTCAAATTTTTCTCTCCTACTCTTACATCAAATCAATTTTAATTATTTTATTTTAAATATTATTTTAAATATATCCACTAACGAATAATCATACCACATTTTCAAAATTAACCAAACCAAATAAAAAAATTCAAACAAAATAAAATCTATATATATATATATAATAAGAATTAATATTTACCATAAATAGTAGTAAGAAAAGTCAAACCACATTCATTATATACTATTTTCAGCAATTTCTTTATTTTACATTTTAATTTTAATTCATTATCAAAAATTGGATGGTTCCTAAATTAATGGGTTTTAGATGCACGTATCCTGTTTCAAAAATTATAAAATCATTTAAAATCGGATGGTTCCTAAGTTAATATTTATAAACTTTTTAAAATTGTAATCTTTATGGCATCTTTTTTTTTTACTTTTAATAATAAAATCATTTTAAATATATATATCCTAATCCAAAAATTCAATCATGTTAAATATATTCAATCAATTAATCTTGATTTTTTTTAAATTACTATGTTTATTTTTTATTAATATGCATAAAATAAAAATAAATAATTCATCTTTAGATATATAATTTACAATCTTAATATATTATCATTTGGTGTAGATATATGAATCATAATTTTTTTTATTTCATAAAATTAAATATTATATTTAAAGAAAATAAAAAAATTACTTTGGATCAATCGGGTGATTGAATTAGGGTACTGCCCACGTTGATTGAATTACTTTTAGGTGATATTTAAAATAGTAAAAAAACTTTGAAACAACTTGGTTGGTCCCAGGTAACTAAGTTATGTATCAGTTTGACCAGACCAAATCGATTATTGAACCTAAATATAAATTTTCATATTGAAAATACTTTATTACGTGAATGTGATGTAGTCCAAACTTTAAATAATCATATTAACAATACTTTTATGACAACATGATTAATGATTTATGAATATTTATATATCATTTTATTATTATTTATGTGAACAAAATAATTATTTTATTATATTTTTTTATTAATGTACGGTAAGTATAAGGTTTTCATAATCGGATCATCATCGAAACGATCAAGTTATTTTATTAAATCATTTGTGGTTGTTCAAATTTTAATACATAATATATATATATATATATATATATATATATATATATAGTACTTTGTGTAATTAATTTAAATAAATAGTGTTACTTAAATATCTAAACAATTTATAAATTCAAATGTTTAAATTAATTGATAAACAATTTATAAATCTCAATTTTATTTAAATATGTAATTTTATTTAAAATTATTCTTAATGTAACAAAATTTGTTTAGAAAATCGTATCGATTCTAGCAGTCCAACAGACTGGTGTTGAAAGATTCGATAGCAAATATTTTATTCAAGCGCACTAAACTATTTATAAATCAGTTCTCGGTCCATCCGGTTAGACTGTGTCCAACTCGATTTAATTTAAAAATAATGGATAAATCATGATTAATGTTATTTATTTATTCAATTTATATTACAATCAAAATATTATTTATATTATTTTCCCGTGAGGGCCACGCACTAGTTCTTTTATAAACAAACATGCTCAAACTCATCCTCCACAAGAAGAGAAGAGGAGAACTACGAAACCCTAACACCCAAAATCCAAATCGAGAACGGCCACCACCCACCGGCCACTCACGGTTCTCTGGCTCTTCAAATCGGCTAGCCCTCGCCCCGCTTCAATCTCGACGTCCCTCTGCTACTCTCTAGTTTAGGTATTGATGGCTAAAATCTTTGACTATTTGAATGTTTTTGCTTTACCTGTGGCTAGATTTGAGAAAAACACTGAACAATTGATTTAATGTAGGAGTCCAAAGCAGTTGAGAAAGTTTATTTATTATTTGAAAGGGGGATCTGCTGCTGTTGGTTGTTGGGAATGGCAGATATGGGAATCGCGGATAAAGGTCAGCCCTGCAACGACAATTTGATGTTTTTGGTGCAGCGCCCCAAATTTGGGGCACCCGTCGGTGGCTGGGTGCTGAAGCAGGATGTCAAGGCAAGACTCGATTGCTTCGTAATCTCAACCAAAAACAACTCGTTCAAAGTGCTGCAAGATGATGATCATCTTCCATTTCCAAACTTGTCTCGGCTCAAAGATGACAACTACAATCCCGTTCTTAGGAATGCCTATTATGAAGTTGTAGCGACTTGCGACTCATGGATGCTGTTGAGATATGCGAAACAACGTGAATATACATTTGACGTCCTGTGGAACCCCACCACCGACGAGATGAAATCCCTTCCGTATTTTTCTTTGGCATCTCCTCGTTTGACGGATATTTGGGCATACGGATTCGGGTTTGATCCTTCAGGGGGAGGGTATAAGGTGGTCAGATGTCGCTCCAGAGACGATGACGATGATGTTACTCAGATCTACGTTGAGCTGTTGTCGCTCGCAAGTGGTTCGTGGAAGGAAATTCCGTATCCTCATAATCCCTATGATAAACCTGTTCAACGACCATCTCTTCACATCAATGGAGTTTATTATTGGCAAGCTACAACTACTGGAATTATTTCCTTCGACTTTGCTAAGGAGGAGTTTACCCCTGCTCTAATCCCTATGCCCACGAGTGATGAGCTCGAAGAGGAGGGCGATTATATTCTTGCTGAGATAGATGGGTCGCTTGGTGCAATTATGTTCGAGGATGGTGAATGGGCGTCGGATAGCAATAGTATTGCTATTGCTGCTGATGAAATGAAGCCTTTTATTTTCGAGGTTTGGGTGTGGAAGGCCCCCAAATGGTCTCCAGTGTCCTCAGGGAATGTCCCGGCTGAAGCCCATACTGAGTGCGTATTGGGCCTCTACAATACACATAAACTGCTTCTTTGGAGCTCCGATGGTGACCTGCTGCTATACGACATTGTGAATAAGGTGTGGAAGAAGCTCGCTATCCATGCTGACTTGTTGGGTCTGGTTGTCACCCCATATGTTGCCAACGCCGACTCCAAACTCAAATCCTCGATGATAAATCTCCCGTCTAACGTCGTTGCTAGTGCTGCTATTCAGCGGCCGCTTAGCCGCAACTTGAAGCGTAGTAACAACAGCAATAATAATAATAATCTTATGCTTATGGTGCAGTGTCTACTCAAGTGGACCCGCAATTACTTTGTATTGTCAACGGAAAACAACATGTTCAAAGTGGTACAAGATGAGAAGAGTCTTCCTAACTTGTCTCTACTCAAAGTAGAGCAAAACTACGATCCCATTTGTATGTATGCCAAGTATCACGTCCTAGCGAGTTGCTCCACCTGGATGCTGTGGATGTGTACCCAATATCCGGGAAGTCCGCTGGAGCTTCTGTGGGAGCCTAGGACCGACGTGCTCGTAACCCTTCCCTTTTTTGAGGCTGTGCCGCGCTTGCCTTGCCCAATTATCACGTCCATGTGGGGTTACGGTATCGGGTTTGTATCAGGAGAATATTATAAGGTGGTCAGATGTCGCGTGTTCAAGCATTTCCGTTGCGAAAACGAAGCTCACGCGGAGCTCTTCTCGCTCGAAACTTGTTCGTGGAAGCAAATTCCTTTTCCCCATGATCCCCAGCTCGAATCCATGCAACATCCTTCGCATCACATTCACGTCAATGGCTTTTATTATTGGCTAGCAGTGGATCCCACCAAGACGGATCTTTGTGTTATTTCATTCGACTTTGCTAATGAGGAGTTTCCTCGTGATCTCATCCGTATGCCGGAGAGCAAAATTGTCCCCAGGCTTGACTGTGTTACTCTTGCCGAGTTTCGTGGGTTGCTGGCTGCTATTGTTTTTGATTACCATGTGCAGAAGAAGAAAAGTACTAAGCAGAGGAAGAAGACTAGTAAAGAAGCATCGCCTTTTATTTTTGAGATATGGGTACGGATTAACGGCATCTGGTCCCATGAATCCACATACACAGTCGCTCCTCCTCGTGCTCGTGCTGATGCTGATGCTGATGCTGGTGTTGTTTTTAGGAGGGTCGTCGGTCTGTACAAGGATCATAAAGCATTTCTTCAGGACTCAGAGGGTTACCTATGGCTTTATGATCTTGAGAAGAAGGAGTTGGAGCGTACCAGCATCCGTGATGATAGTTTTTCTCTGGCAGTCTACCCTTATGTGTGAAAGTGATCATCTATATTCTGAAGTAAATGAGAGCTCGTCGGTCTTGTTTCTAGCAGCACCAACACATTACAGAAGTGTTCGTCTCTTATAATGCATTTGCACATTTCAGAGGAATTTAACAAAAGTATTAGTTTATTGTTTACCAAACCAAAGTCACGAAACGAGTGAGGCGAGTCCGGGAAGGCCAACCCAAGAGCCTTGTAAGAGAGGTGCCAAGTCCCACATCATGTATGGTTTCCTCTCGTTCAGCTTACTCGTACCTCCGTACCCGCCTTATCTCAATGGTTCAGCATATAATAATTTGGGAAACTCAGGGTAAAAACACCCACAAGTCTACAAATCGTCATTTGGAAATACGATACGTTAGGTTACTACAATGATATATATTCTTTTGCGTGCTTAATACAATGTTGTATATGTATATATAAAGTTTTGACAATATTGTTTCTAAAAAAGTTATAATTTAAAGATTACAAAACATCGTTCCCATAAGTATTATGAGTTGCTACTTGTGATGGGGGTGTGGAGGTTGTTCATTTGCATTTGGGCATATGCCCGGCACTGAGAACTAGGTATCCTTATAATAGTTTAATCTAAAAGTATTCTGGGATTTTGACTGACATGTTATTATTCTCAAGTCTCAACCCAGATGTGTCCTGGTGTAAATTAGTTAGATACATGTCAGTATTGGCATTTATTTCTTGTTTGATTTGGCTCTTCAACAATGATGCTGGTTCATTTGTCTGAATATTTGAATTTGATGTTATTAATCCATCTGTCTATCAGAAGATAACCTTACAACATTGATTCGATCTATTAGTAAAGAATGTTTTCTCGTCCTTAAAACTTGGAGTAAAAAATTTGATCATTGCTTAGTGCTCTTTTCTATCCATTTTTTTTCCTGCTATAGAGTATGATTATTTTTCATTTAACTTGTAGTGACCCTAATTATTATTATTATTATTTTTAATGATGCAGCTGCTGGAAATAGCACAAGTTCCTGATGAACATGTGAGCTTTATTTCCGTTGTCACCTTCATATTCATGCTCAAGTACAATGATGCTATTCATTGCAGTTGGTTTTTCGATAATTATATACTCTACTCATCAATGCAGCATTTGTGTATCATTTTCCAAAGTATTTGCTGGAAGTAAATAAAATAGTGAAGTGCTTTGATAATCCCAGTTACATAAAGAGTTATCTCAATGTCTAAAGGATTAGGTCCACAATATTTGTTCATGAAAACTTACCAGCTCCATAGAAACACCAAACACAAATGTTGGTCCAGAAATTATTTCATGATTGAAATGAGGTTCAACATTTTCATCTGATTTATTGGGATGCACTGTAACAGCATCACGTATTACATTGTGAGCCACGTTTACTCCTTTTCTCACTTAATACTATGTATTTTGGTTCCTATTACATTCACATGGAGAACAAAATCATCCTACAATCTGCTTCATTTGTCAATGCTGATATATGATATTCTGTTTGATACAGGTCAATGAATTCACGTCGATCGAGAAGTTCAAGATTTTCAATACCAACAACTTGTGAGTCAAATCTAAATCTACATTCTACAATCTGCTTATGCTTGTTGGCAACCCTTGACAATGTATCAAAATATGAGGCAGATGGGTCAACTTGAAGGTGATTCATTGAAGATGGAGATCATTCCCAACCCAAAGGTACCAACCGTGTATTCTCCTACAGTATTCTATCGAGAAAGTATCTGTCCATTTTGAACCAAAGCCAATATATTTTTTAGGAAGTTGATGGGGTCAAAGTTCTTCAACTCGAGACTGCTGCTGGCGCTGCCATAAAAGGTACACTATCCACCATTTTTTTTTTGATTAATTCTTAATTCTTGTTTTCTCCAATGGGTAACTAATTACATTTTCTTCTCTCCCTCTTTCTTGCTCACATTTGTTCAGTTTTTCGATCATGCTATTGGAATCAATGTTCCACGGTCTCGCTAAAAGCAACTTCCGATTTGCTGCTAGTCCAAGTAAATTTATCTAGTTCCAAAGCTCTCATCTGAATCACATCCTATTTATATGTAGCTATTTTAGCTATTTTAGCTTCCTCGTACGCTTTATTCTTGGATTATTTGTTCCGCTTTGATCTTGACCATACACGTGTCCTTTGTGGACCGCCTTTCATAATCACCTCCACAAGTCGGTCCTCAACTTTGTAGAACATCATCACTGATTGACTTTTCTTAAAAGACCCTTCTGTTATACTGCACAGAGCTATTGCTATGACGAGCTAATGGGCCTCTCTGTAGGCCGAACTCTAATGGGCATCTCTGCTAGGTCGAGCTGTTGCTAGGATGAGCCAATGGGCCTCTCTGATAGGCTGATAGGCCGAGTCGTTGCTAGGTCGAGCTGTTGCTAGGACGAGCTAATGGGCCTCTCCGCTAGGCCGAGCTGTTGTTAGGCAGAGTTGTTGCTAGGACGAGCTAATCGGCCTCTTTGCTAGGCCGAGTTGTTGCTAGACCGAGCTGTTGCTAGGACGAGCTAATGGGCCTCTCTGCTAGGCCGAGTATTTGCTAGGACGAGCAAATGGACCTCGTTGCTAGGTCGAGGTGTTGCTATGACGAGCTAATGGGCCTCTCTGTTAGGTCGAGTTGTTGCTATTCTTACTATAGCCATTATCGGTCCACGAATTAAGATTCCTTCTGTCCGGTTTGCCGAGCTATTCCCTTATGCTATATCACCTGTGGCATAAAAGTCAGACTCGCCTCCTCTTTTGTATGACAATCGTACTGAGAAGTAACTCATGAAAACCCTTTAGCGCTCTTGCGATGCATTAAGGAATCAATCCGGTTGCATTCATCACACGCCACGTGGGTACGATGTGTGATTGTGATGAGATGAAGATCGTGTCTCCCGGACTTGTTTTACGTAGAAGCGCGCACTAACGACCTTGCTTATACACGATAAATTGTGAAAACACGCACTAACGACCTTGTTAATCACAATAGGTCTCCTTGTTAATCACAATAGGTCTATGAGATCTTGCACTAACAGTCTTGGATAAATACAACAAAATCTTTGCTTGCTTTTAAGAATTTTTTTATTGCTTTTTCCCAAAATCGAATGTATAACACAAGTATTTAAAAGAAAACATAGAAACCTATAAGGACTTAACTTCTAATCTTAAGAGGAAATTAACTCTAATCTTAAGGACATAGATTAGGACAATAATATTGAGTCCAAAGGAAAAAATAATTAGTACGTCAATTAACTCAAACATCTAAACAAACCAGAAAATATAATCATTAAATAATCTTCTAGAATCGGCTGGATATTCTAGAAGCTCTCGGACTCTTTGCTGCGAAAGGCACGCCCGCGGAAGTCCTCAGACGCTTGCGCATTACGTCCACGCTTGCCACGCTAGGTCGTCGTCCCGCATGTCCGCTAGTCGCCCGAAGTTCTCGGTCCGCAGCACGATGGTCGTGCTGCCACGCCCATGCGACCCGCGCCTCTTTTGCACGCCTTCCGGTCTCGTCAACACATCGTCTGCCTGCTCGTCGATGGGTCACCTCGTGCTACTCGCTTCTTGACGTCGTCCGTGCTTTCTGCGCGAACTTCTGCGTACTTGGCAACTTCCGTACAGTCGTCTGCTACTGCGCTCGGTCTCGTGCGGTCTTGACCAACCCATTGAGTTTGAATTGATACACTTGTGCAAGTTCTTAACTGCTTGCATAGGGTGGTGAATGGTGATCATGGTAGACTTTTGATTTTATTAATTTTTTTTTTTTTTTTTAATTTTTTTTTTTTTTTTTTAAAATGTTGAAACAATATAAAACATGTGAAGATATTAAAGTAACTTCATACATTTAAAATAACAAGAGCATGACAAGTGGAACTTTTTGGGGCACTTGTCATATAAGATAAGCATTCACATAAGATAAGCATAACAAATAGCAACATCCTCAAATCATTAAAACGGACACTTGTCAGATAAGATAAGCATTCACACAAGTGTTTGGAAAGATTCCCAAAAATTCACCGAGGAACTACTATTCAGTTTCGAAAAATGAACTACCATTCTAGATCAGCATTCAATGCTTCACAAAATCAGTGTTGTCAAAAAGGGATTCACATTCAATTGGTGAATTCAATTGTTACCATTGGTGTTACTGCTGCTACCCCTAGAAGACTAACACAATTAATTCATTCACAAAAACGAACAAGATGAGAAAGGGTTGTGCAAAAAAAAAGAAAGAGAAATAGAGCGATTGAGATAAGAGAAGAACTGACACCTGTTGAAGTTTCAAATTTACTGGGGGACAAGAAAGTCCTCATTCAGGTTGAGGGCGTGTCCAGCGAGAGCAATAGAGTTAGCCTGGTTTACGGGGTTTCCAATGTTGTTAACTGCGTAGACAATTTCCTTCAATATAAATCTTCCGGCATGGACGACCTCTCCCACGCGATACATGCGTAGTTTCCTTATAGGATCAGCAGTCGGATATCCAGTCACCGCTGCTTGAGAAACCACGGATCCTGGAAAGATGAAGGGTGGGCGAGGCACCACTACAGACCAGACGAACAAATCAAAAAATATTATTAGTAAAAATAATAAAATATTAGCAAGGAAAAAGTCGAGATAAACTGACTTCTGATGTTCTCCATGGAGGTGCAAACGAGGTCGAGATAAACCCCAAGCATGAACCCTATACCATGACCATGTTTGAAAAAGCTATCTACCAGAAACTTGATATGGAAGTTAACTTTTTAGCTATGGTCAGGTTCTGATGCTTGCTGCGAAGATCGGGGTAGAGTTGCGGGAGTCTTTCACGGAGTTGGGCATCAAGAAGATAGTACATTCTGCTGATTGGTATAAACTGGAATTCGCTCATGGATACCATTAGGTACAACAAGATTGTGAGCGGGTGAACTCATTTGCCTCCGCGTTTGGAGCAAAGTTCCAGTTATGACGATTATCATTCATGAAGTAGTCGAATTCTCTCACGTATGTCGAGCTTAGGTTGAACACAACCCCGATGGACGTAAATTCTAAAAAAATGGGTACACATAAAACATATGTTCATAGTCTCATTAATAAGCAATACGCTGAACTACATAGAAACAAATCTAAACTCCTATAATCATTAATTTTGAACAAAATCATGCCACTAATTGTGCTTAAGTTGAACTTAACCAACATCTATAGGAGGCAAAACATGCTTTGAAAACAAAATTTCTGAAAACAGTATTGAAAACATGCTTTGAAAACAACAAAACAACAATATTCTCCGCTCATTGCCACTAACTGCAGAGAATAATAAATGAACACTATAATATTATTGTTTTGTTGTTTTCAAAGTATGTTTTCAATATTGTTTTCAAAAATATTGTTTTCAAAGCATGTTTTGCCTCCTATTGATGTTGGTTGAGTTCAAGTTAAGCAAAATTAGTGGCATGATTATGTTCAAAATTAATGATTATAAGAGTTTATATTTGTTCTATGTAGTTCAGTGTATTGCTTATTAGTGAGACTTTGAACATATGTTTTATGTGTATTCATTTTTTTAGCATCTACGTCCACCGGCTCAACCTAAGCTTGACATACGTGAGAGTTCGACTACTTCATGAATGATAATCGTCATAACTGGAACTTTGCTCCAAACGCAGAGTCAGATGAGTTTACCGCTCACAACCTTGCTGTACCTAATGGTATCCATGTGCGAATTCCAGTTTATACCAATTAGCAAAATCGCAGAATGTACTATCTTTTTTATGCCCCACTCCGTGGAAGACGCCCGCAACTCTATCCCGATCTTCGCAGCAAGCATCAGAATTGACCATAGCTAATAAGTTAGACTTCCATATCAAGTTTCTGGTAGATAGCTTTTTCAAACATGGCCATGGCATGGGGTTCATGCTTGGGGCTTATCTCGGCCTCGTTTGCACCTCTATGGAGAATATCAAAAGTCAGTTTATCTCGACTTTTTCCTTGCTAACATTTTATTATTTTTACTAATATTTTTTGATTTTGTCGTCTGGTCTGTAGTGGTGCCTCGCCCACCCTTCATCTTTCAAGGATCCGTGGTTTCTGCAGATCCGACTGCTGATCCTATAAGGAAACTGAGCATGTATTGCTCGGGAAGGGGCGCCCATGCTGGAAGAGCTATATTGAAGGAAATTGTCTACGCAGTTAGCAACATTGGAAACCCCCGTAAACCAGGCTAACCCTATTGCTCTCGCTGGACACGCCCTCAACCTGAATGAGAACTTTCTTGTCCCCAGTAAATTTGAAACTTCAACAACTGTCAATTCTTCTCCATTTCTCATTTTTTTTTTGTACAATCCCTTCTCATCTTGTGCGTTTTTGTGTGAATGAATTAATTGTGCTAGTCTTGCAGGGTAGCAGTAACAATTGAATTGTGAATCCCTTTTTGACAACACTGATTTTGTGAAGCATTAAATGCTGATCTAGAATGGTAGTTCATTTTTCGAAATTGAATGATAGTTCCTCGGTGAATTTTTTGGAATCTTTCTAAACACTTGTGTGAATGCTTATCTTATATGACAAGTGCGCGTTTAATGATTTGAGGATGTTGCTATTAGTTATGCTTTGTGAATGCTTTCTAACACTTGTGTGAATGCTTATCTTATATGACAAGTGCCCCAAAAAGCTCCACTTGTCATGCTCTTGTTATTTTAAATGTATGAAGTTACTTTAATTTCTTCAGATGTTTTCTATTGTTTCAACATTTTTTTAAAAAAATAATAAAATCAAACGTCTACCATGATCACCATTCACCATCCTATGCAAGCAGTTAAGAACTTGCACAAGTGTATCAATTCAAAAAACCAGAATTTGAAACTTACTGAAGAACACCATGTCGGGACCTTCGACTCAAACTGTTCTTCACGTGATAGAATTTAATAGATTAGATGTTTCCAGAGAAAGAACTAAAAGTAAAGAAAACGATCATTTCACGTGATAGAATTTGAAACTTACTAAAGCACATCATGTCGGGACCTTCGACTCAAACTGTTCTTCATCTTATTGGAGCCCACTCATCGTGTTGCATGTCCTACAATAAACCAGATCAAGAAAAAAAATGGTTCGATAAGCATTGGCGCCAAGAAGTTTCAGAACAATCCATGTGAAACTTTTAAATCGCAGACTATACCAGTGGTCTGAAACCATGCCCCTAATCCGATCAGACACCTCATGACCGTTAAAACTTAAATGTTTCTACATCGATTCATGAAGCAAGCCACAAGGTGAAAAAAACCATAATATATGTTTTTTTTCTAATCAAGATTAAATTTTCATAAATCTTATTGCAAGAGGCGAAAAATCAAACCTTGTGCCGGATTTTTCCTCTAGCATTGTGTCTGAAATTTCTCTTTGGCCCACGCAATCGCCTCATATACACCGTTGGATTCATATGTATTACCGCCTTTGTCGTCGAAATTGATCTCGATAACAAAGGAGTTCCTCAAACACTAAGAGAACTGAAACCATAAGAAAAAGGAAAAAGTGTAGAAAAATTACACATTAGCAAAAACTCCCCTCACCTGGAGAAACGAAACTCTTTTCCAAAAGCTACTAAAAACGAAAGACCTCAGCACCCCATCACCACACAGTTTTAAACAAAACTTGCCGACTTCTTCTGCTCTGGCAGCTCCCACTTCGGCGGCTCCTCCCCTGAAACCCACTATAAAATACCTATTCAATTGAACAAAATTGCTCAATTATCAGATGAGCCACCCAAGAAACCACTGGGAATTAACATACTGAACGGACGGAATCAACTAACAGTTTCATTTCCTGGAACCCACGAACGGGTGAGATTTATGCCTACAAGTGTGTGTAGCCCCATTTCATATTAACTGAACGGAAAAGAAATAAGATAATTACATTCAATGATACATTTTTCTGCAACAAATATGCACAAAATATACAATATACCTTGTATTTGCTCACAAGATCTTTCCATTTGCCCTTGCACTAATCAGGTGTCCTCCTATACCCTTTTTCCTTTATCCCATTAGCTACAGCTTCCGACAAATTCTGGTCCCTTTCCACCGCTGCTAATCCGCCTCAACTGAACCCTAATTTCAATTAAATCCCTCATTTCCTGGTTTTTCCATTGGGGGAAGCTCTCGTCCCTTCTTGAGAAATCATTGTAGCGGCTATGCCGTCGCCAGGAAATAAATTGTGCGCCATCGAATTTAAATTATGCGCCATCGAATTTCTGGCAAGACCAAAAGACGATGGCCACAAGCGACCGATCATGTAGAGTAAAAATACAAAAAAAGAGAGAGAGAGAGAGAGAGATGGCCGCCCGCCACCAATCGCGGGGAGAGAGTTTGAAAATTCGAGNAGACGAAGAAAAAAAAAAAAACAAAAATCCAAATCCTAGAAGGTGATAAGAATGGGCAAAAAGTTCAGAAGTAAACGCTGTACGCAGATTTCCTGTTAAAAAAATCTCCCAAACAGCAGCGACCAGACCCACAAAACCGCGTCGTACCCTTCTCTATCGCTTAAGAATTAAGCAACACCATTCAGATCAATCCAATTTCATCTTACATGTCTAAACTTGAAAATATTATAAGTTAACAAACAATTAGCAATAACCTGCGGACGGTCAGCTCGTGAAAAACGAAATAAGACTTAATCGGAGATGTGGGCAAAGATTACTGGACTTAGGCGGAGACAAACGTAGACAGCCGAAGACGAAGGGAGACGAGCGGACATGACCAGAGGTGGGAGAAGACGAGTGGAAACAACCAGAAACGGGCGGCGGAGGAGGCAAGCGTGGTCGGCCAAAAACGGCGGAGACGAACAGACACGGGAGGAGGCGGACGGATACGACCGGTAAACGGGCCGTAGACTCCTCAAGACAACCGGAGACGGGCGTAGATGGGTCGGAGATAACCGGAGACAGAAGAGACAGGCGCAGACGACCGGTGACGAGAAATCTGATATTTGGGGCTACGGTTCGAATTTGATTTCTCTGCTTTGAGAATTTGATAGATTTTTGTATTTTTTATAATTAAAAATATTGGTTTGGTGAGTGGTGAGTAACGTAACCATGGTTCATTGGTTTCTAATACTGTGGTTGATTTTTTCTCTCGCTAAAATTTTGCCTGAAAGAAAAAAAGGAAAAAAGAAAAGAAAATTGAAATCTACACGTGTCAGCTGTTAAGGTGGTGAGGGCGGCAGCATCGAATTAGCCGCCGATGACGCATATCCAGATTACACTACTCGAGAAAAGTATGGCCCCCTTGTTTCCCTTCCTCCTCTCCGCCGTCTCCGCCTCGCCGCCGCCGGCCCTCCGCACTGCTTTCTACTCGGAGACCTGCCCGCAGGCGGAGGCCATCGCACGGGGCGTCCTCAGGCAGGCCATGGCCAGAGAAATTAGAATCGCTGCCTCTGTTATGCGCCTACAGTTCCATGATTGTCTAGTTAATGTAATGACAAACTTGTAAAATTACTCTCTCTACTTTTTTTTTAATGAAAATGTTATTAATGAATTTATTTATTTATTTACTTTTTTTTCTTTTTGTAATTTTAAATTTGGAGTAGGATTGTGATGGGTCATTGTTGCTGGATGACACGCCGAACATGGTTGGAGAGAAATTGGCTTTGTCGAACATAGATTCGCTGAGATCGTACGAAGTGATCGATGAGATTAAGGAAGCATTGGAGAGGACGTGTCCTGGAATTGTCTCTTGTGCCGATATCATCATCATGGCTGCTAGAGATGCTGTTCTTCTGGTAATCTATCCTTTTTTCTCCCTTTTCTTGTTATCTTTTCTGATAAACTTTTGAAAATCTGTTTTGATCGATGAGATTAATGGATTTTCGTTTTGTAATTATATATGAAAAGCAGGATATCTTTCTTTTACTTTTTATTTTATTTTTTTGCGTTTATCTCTTCTTTTTTATTCTTCTTTTTTGTCTTTTGATTTGGTTGACAACATTGTCATCATTTTTGTGTTGGAAGCAGAGTGAGGGCCCACACTGGGAAGTGAAATTGGGCGAGTTTTTCGGGGCATTTGTAGAGGGGATGATTAAGCTAGGGATATTTGCAGTCCGGGATTGCAGGGTGGTTAATGATGGGCCGTTGTTGCTGACCCAAGCCCAACGTCAGGGTTCGGTTTGTTTTCCAACAGATGTTAATTGTGTTAATTGTTATTGTACATGTCAAGACTCAAGCAGAGGTTTAAGCCTAAAATGCGATAATAATTTTTCTGCAATATCATGTTTGTTTGCATGTTGGGATGATGGCTTGGTTATACAAGCAAAAAGTGTAATATTATTAAATGGCTCTGTGCTGTGTTTGGAACCGAGCAAGGTGTTCAAATTGTATGGATAAATAGGAACAAGCTCAGAAGCGCATTAAATTGGACTCACGAAATTAACAAATACTTGAATGTATGTATTGAGCTGATAAACATCCAACATAACAAGTAGAACCACAAAATCTCTCACCACAAACAAAATAACAGAATTAATAGAAAATTTTCAACTAGAATCAAAATCATATCTCAACTCCAAATAGATTTCAAGCAACTGACGTACAGAGCCAGAAAAAACCCCACAAGCCTCTACTTGAGAGGACTTGAGCTTTTATGCAGTAGCTGATGGTTTAGAGGCTGCTACTAAGAGTCTGGACCTCTTCTTGGCCAAACTCTTGCTCCTCCTTTCTCTCTGTTCCTTCAAAGCTTCTGATACTCTGCAGCCTCTGACTTAGCCTCGGCAATCCTCTTCTTCTTGTCGGCAATTCTAGCTCTCTTCCCCTGTAGGGTCAATGGGGTCACCAGCCTCTGAATCTTGTGAGCTTTGCTCATCTTCTTACCTGTTTGTCGTGCATAAATACAAGGTTCAGTAGTCTGCAGATACCAATACATTGTGGGATGCTTATGAAATAATATAGAATACACTCGATTATCACAAGAGTGGAAGAGAGTAAGAGTCAGTTTATAAGATAAAGGTGTAAAGTAATAGGTTAGAACCAACTTCTTTACAATATTGAAGTATTTGACAACAGAAATTCATGAGAAATTTGGCGTAGTGGAAAACTACATTCAGCACAAAAAGGAGACAACTTTCTTCACAAACTAGAAGTTCCAAATATCAGATCATTCACCTATGCGCAATAATCATGATAAAACTAACAAAATTATCAACCAAAACTCACCAGATTTGGTGGTGAATGTCTGGCGGTATGTGTTGACATACTTCCTAACATCATCGTCCTTGAAAAGGTTGAAAAGCTTTGAAGCCCTCTTGGGGCCCTTCATCCTCGGCTTCTCAACATCAGTCAACCCTGGAAGATCATTCTCACCCTTCTTAACAGACTTCCTTCGGCGCTCTCCATTTCTCGGTTGTATTGGTGTGGTGGAATCTCGGAAGATGACTAAGGATCTTGCTCTCATTATCCAAGTAATCATTCGAGATTTGCCAAATAATAATATTCACGCCATCTTTTTATTGGTTATTATTTTTTTTTTTTTAAATAATCAATATGTTATTTCATTCTTCCGTGATCATATTTTGACTTCTTTCATAGGTTGAGCAGAGAGCAGTATTTGAACACTGAAGAGTTCAACGATGCAGTTGCTGCTGACCTGAAAACTAGACTTTCCGCTTGAGTGTAAGTACTAAGTACATTCATATATTTAGGGCATTTTGGCGTAAGAGTGATTTATGCGTACGTTGGTTATATTTTCTATTTCTTTGTATGTTTGTAGGTCATTTGCTGTTTGGCTGTGAGGAAATTTTCCTTAGAAAACTGTTTCGGTTTTTACTAAATAACTCACCTTCCATTTTAGGTGTCACTATATCCTGCTTTCTTGCTTCCCACCGTAACTATAATGCTTAGAACTTTATTTTCTTTTTGTGTGTGATCGACATTAATTTTAAATTATGAACCACCTTTTTCGAGAGATCGAGCTGAAGTTGGGATTCAATCCAGACTTGGTCAATATGTTATTGTGTTTGTTAGAATATCAATTGTGAGTTGTCACACATCGTTCATACATGAAACATAGACCCACTTTATAAGTCTAATGGGCTACTCCTCCTTCCACCAAAATTGGTTTTGGGATATAACCCAATTTGGGCTTCATCTGGATTTTTCCCCGTTCATGGTGCGCTTCATGTTAGTGGGCCCGCACCAATTTTTCCCCAATCGTTGGTGATCAATCGTGTCGACTAAATATGTTATTGTGTCTATATTTAACACAAATTTTTGTGTGAGATAGTCTAACCGTTAGACGAGTTGACCCATCATACTACTTGAATAAAATTGCATACTTATGACATACTTTAACAAAAATATGTATATTTGTTAAAAAAATATGTATGTCGACCCAATGATTAGTGTTTAACACAAGACTAACAGTATACTTAAATATTTAGGGGGTGATTGTTTATGAATTGATCTAGAAATTAATTAGTTTTTTTTTAACTATAGTTACTTTTGAAAAAGTTGGTATGGTTAGTTGTTAGTGGATATATTAAAATAATATTTAAAATAAAATAATTAAAGTTGATATGATGTAAAAGTAAGAGAAAAATGATTGGAAGTGGTGGTTAGTTAAAATTATGTGAGAAGATGAATAGTGAATTAAAGTTGATGTGATGTGTAAGAATGATTGGTTGAATGATTAGTTGATATTATTTAATTATATTGGTAATATTGGAGATAGTGAAATTGGGTTAAAGTTGAGTTAAATTTGAGTTTTGATTGAGTTTTTTTGGGGTGAATTGATAAACAATCACCCCCTTAATGTTTGGTAACTCTATTTTCTAACCATTCTTCGTAAATATTAAAATAAAACTAAAAATAAAACTAAAAGATATAAACTTATTATTATTATTATTATTATTATTATTATTATTATTATATAAAAGAGGATCAATAGTAATTCACCACTTACCCCTCCATAACTCAAATTCGAAACTTATTGGTCTCAAGTGAAAAGTGCTGCCAACTGAATTACCCCTTCTGGTGTCATGTGTTCTTGTGTTATTAGTTGTTGATATATGCATGTATGTGTGCATACAGTAGTACTACCGTGTGCCCTGGCACACCTAGCAGTGCAAATTTGCACGCGCTCCTTCACCGCAAAAAATTAGAAAATTTAGAGAGTGTAGTGCACATTCCCATTTTTCCTTTTTTAATTGAAAAATGAGACATATTACATAAATTAAAATATCATTAATTATTTATATTAAAAAAATAAAATAAAAATACCAAAATTCATAATTTTTCATTATCTATAAATAGAGACCACATTTGATAGGTTTTTGAGCACAACTAATTTTTTGTTTTTTCGTAATTATTTTATTATACTGACATATAATGAACATGTTACATAACAAGATGAATATGTTTTTAAATAAGATGAACATGTTACAGATTGCAAATTGAAAATAATACATATTCATCTTATTTTATAACATGTTCACCTTATTGTGTATGTAACATGTTCATCTTATTCTATAACATGTTCATTTTATTATGTAACATGTTCATCTTATTTTAGAACATGTTCATCTAAATTTCATCTGTGAAAATGTAACATTTTCATCTTATTCTATGACATGTTCATCTTACTCTATAACATGTTCATCTTACTATGTAACATATTCATCTAATTATAGATTTGCGTCATAATTTTTCAATAAGATAAATTAATTGTAAAAAATAATAAATTAATTGTGTTCCAAAAAATATCAAATGTGGTCTCTATTTGTAGAGAATGAAAAATTATGAATTTTGATATTTTTATTTTTATTTTTTGATACAAAATATGAATAATAATTTAATTTATATAATATGATATATGAAATTCATTACTCAATAGAAATGGGACACGTGTTCTTAAAAAAAAAATAATCTACTTTCTTACCTCAAGCGTTTTTGAAGGAAGTGTATTTCACAAAAGAGGTATTAGCGGTGTGCATAGGGCGTGCGAATCTTCCCTCACCAACCACATTTGACTACTTTGTGGCAGGTATTTACAATTTTTGTCCAACCTACCTTTATTCATTTGCCTTTTTAGCTAGCCACGGCACTACTACTACACCCATATTTTGATAAGTAATAATTATCAAATTATCAAATATAGTATAAAACTTGACACAGTAAATTATAAAATCTATATATAATTGTGCCTCCGCTGATCTTTCTGCAATTACTACTACTTAATAAAAAGATATTTCTCTTTTATCTTTGGTTTTAGTTTAAAGAAAAACTAAAATATAAATGTAGTGCAAATTAAAATTGTGAAAGAAATGAGATAAAAAATTAAATTGATGTAATATATAAAATAAAAAAACTATGTATTAGTTAATAAAATTAATAGTTATAATTATGTTAGTGGATGAATAAAATTAATAATTATAATTATGTTAATGGATGAATTGTGTTGATATGATTGAATATTTTATAATATTGATAAAAAGTGATAAAGTAAATAATATTTTATTAAAAATATTTTCTTTTAATTTCAATTTAAATGAGATACATATATTTTTCAACTAAAAAATTTCTGTCGCTTGCATATGCATGTGTATATCTTCATTTTTTCTCGACTTGTTGCGACTGAAACTTTTTCTATAAAACCCTCCAGCCCCACTTCACCAACCCCAGACTTGTGAGATTGTTCGGTCGAACCAATTTAAGAACCCCTGAAAAAAAGAGAAAAGCAGAACGAAAAGAGCAAAAAAAAGGAAAAAAATCATGGCTTTCGAGAAGATCAAGGTGGCCAACCCGATCGTCGAGATGGATGGTTAGTTTCAGATCTTTTCTTTTTTCTCGATCTGTTTCAATGAAACCATGTTTTACTGTCAAGTGTATGCTAGCGCGAATCTGAGTTTTTTTTATCCTTTACTGTTATATATACTGTTGTTCTTGTGTGTTTGGCTAAGTGGGCTTGAGATCAGATATGGATGTGATATCAGCTTCCGAGTTCTCTGAATTTGAAATAATCGATGAAGATCTCAACTTTTTCACCTGCTATGAGTACCCATGTAATTTTTTCTGTAATTTTTCTGCTTAAAGTTGCTTGACTGAGATTTTGATTCAAGTATTTGAGTTATTGATTTATTCAGTTAAGAGTTAATTTGGTTGTTTCCTTTGATCTTCCGATACCGGATTCGACAAGCAGTTTACATGGTATGATCTCTGCAATTTACATGGTATCTTAGGCTTATGCTAAATCTCTGCATTTTTTTTTTTTTTTTTTTTTTTTCAGGAGATGAGATGACAAGGGTCATCTGGAAGTTTATTAAAGACAAGGTGTTATAGTCTGTAGTACTATTTCAACTTGATCCCATATTTCTGTCTATTTAAATTTCGAAGCTGAAATCTTGGGTTTTTATTGCATTGATTGATTGCAGTTGATTTTCCCTTTCTTGGAGTTGGATATAAAGTACTTTGACCTCGGTCTTCCCCATCGTGATGCCACAGATGATAAAGTTACTATTGAGAGTGCTGAAGCTACTCTCAAGTATGTGATTTATATGAATATTGATGATGTATTGCCTTTTGTACTTCAGCCCAGCTGGCTGACTGGACTATTCTATTTGTATGTAGGTATAATGTGGCGATTAAGTGTGCCACAATCACTCCAGGTATGAATCTTGATGTTATCAAGTACTATTAATCTGACTCTGTTTAAATGTAGTTGATCATGAAATGGATTGTCATGCTGTGAAGTTTAAAAATACTTGCAGATGAAGCTCGTGTGAAGGAGTTTGGCTTGAAGAGTATGTGGAAGAGTCCGAATGGTACAATTAGGAACATTTTGAATGGTAAGAATATGTGGCTCCACTATTTGTATGCTACTGTTTAGCCATTTGCATCCATGAGAATTGTAATTGGATTTTCTTTCAGGAACGGTCTTCAGAGAACCAATCCTATGTAAAAACGTACCTCGACTTGTCCCAGGTAAAATGCATGTACTTGGTTCTGTTTTTGTCATTCATATTTCATATACTTTTTAATTTTGTACGTGTGTGCTAACTTATTTTATATTTGGTCCCTCAACAGGATGGACTAAGCCAATTTGCATCGGAAGACATGCTTTCGGAGATCAATACAGAGCAACTGATACAGTTATCAAAGGGGCTGGAAAGCTCAAATTGGTGTTTGGTATGGCTTTCCATTTCCATTTCTGCCTCTTTTTTATGTTTGTGAAATGCTCTTTGACGTGAATCTGGCAAATGTTTGTTATGTTTCTATTGCTATGTTAGTTTACCTATTGCAAATGAGTTGATGATTGAATGATCTTGACTTGTGAACAGTGCCAGAAGGGAAGGATGAAAAAACAGAATTTGAGGTCTTTGATTTTACTGGTGCTGGTGGGGTTGCTTTGTCAATGTACAACACAGATGAGGTTTGTTTAGTCAATAATTTATGATTTTTATTTATTTACGTTGGGATTTCTTATTGTTTGTGATTCAACATTGGAACAGTCAATTCGTGCTTTTGCTGAGGCTTCAATGAACACTGCATACCAGAAAAAGTGGCCTTTGTATCTTAGCACAAAGAATACAATCCTCAAGAAGTATGATGGCAGGTAAGCACTAAGCACAGCTAGTATGATCTTCGCAGTCTGTTTTTGCACTTATGCTGCAAATCCTCCCTTGAAAATAGTTTGTTCCAGTATAATTTATCTTCGGCTCGTGTAAAATAATTTGATAATTACTGTACTGTAAACGAAGATTCAAGGACATATTTCAAGAAGTTTATGAATCAAGCTGGAAATTGAAGTTTGAGGAAGCAGGAATCTGGTGAGTTTCTTTCTCTTCTTAAATTTATTATCTTTTTTCTTATTGTTAACTTCATTGCATGTGATGTTACATATATTTTCCGATTATATAATACAATAGGTATGAGCACCGTCTCATTGATGATATGGTTGCATACGCCCTGAAAAGCGAAGGGGGTTATGTATGGGCTTGCAAGAATTATGATGGAGACGTGCAAAGTGATTTCTTGGCACAAGGTATATAGAAAGCAAACCTTTGAAAATCTTGCATTAATCTCAAAATTGTGGCTTTGGATATGATTTTTTTTTTTTTAAGTTTTGTTTTTCTCTTTCATTAATTCTATTTCCATTTAATTACATGTCCACAGGGTTTGGATCACTCGGGCTGATGACATCGGTTCTGGTAAATTTGAGTCTCGTATTATAGATTTTCCTGGTTCATAAAACGGTCCTAAATTCCTAATTTGCTAGAAAAAAGAAGAAAAAAAAAAATAATAATAATCTGTTGGAAAGTCTTTGGTATAAATCAAATTGAATCACTTAGTGCACAACTTCCAGTTTAAAAAAAAAAGAATCCGTTATGAATAATGATACTTTGTAAAATTCTCTATCATTTAGTACTAAGAACAATTTACACCATATTTTTTCACATAAGGATATATATTGGGTTTGGTTGATTTAAGGTATGCCCTGATGGGAAGACAATCGAGGCTGAAGCAGCCCATGGAACTGTTACTCGCCACTATAGAGTACATCAAAAGCAAGGTGAAACTAGTACAAATAGCATTGCCTCTATTTTCGCTTGGTCTCGTGGCCTTGCACACAGGTACTGTTTTTTTAAATTTTATTTATTGTTATTATTTATTTATTTTATATTTTTTGGTTCTCTTAATGAGATGATTATTTTGCTAGAATTATATGTTGACTATATAAGTAAGCAATTTTGTAGGGCTAAGTTGGATGATAATGCAAAACTGTTGGACTTCACTGAGAAACTGGAAGCTGCTTGTATTGGTGTTGTGGAATCTGGGAAGATGACTAAGGATCTTGCTCTCATTATCCACGGATCCAAGTAATCATTCGAGATTTGCCAAATAATAATATTCACGCCATCTTTTTATTGGTTATTTTTTTTTTTTTTTTAAATAATCAATATGTTATTTCATTCTTCCGTGATCATATTTTGACTTCTTTCATAGGTTGAGTAGAGACCAGTATTTGAACACTGAAGAGTTCATCGATGCAGTTGCTGCTGACCTGAAAGCTAGACTTTCCGCTTGAGTGTAATTACTAAGTACATTCATATTTTTAAGGGCATTTTGGCGTAAGAGTGATTTATGCGTTCGTTGGTTATATTTTCTATTTCTTTGTATGTTTGTAGGTCATTGCTGTTTGGTTGTGGGGAAATTTTTCATTCAGAATACTCTGTTGCTTTTTACTAAATAACTCACCTTCCATTTTAGGTGTTACCAGCTTGCTTTCTTGCTGCATTTTGTTTCTATTGTTCAATCCAAACTGATGTATTGTGAACGCAGAAATTTTTTTGTGATTTACTGGTTATTAATGGAGGAAACAATTATCTTAAACAATTAATGTTGCTTTTATTTAGAATTCGATTGCATTTTCCATTTATTGCCATTCTTGTCTGGTTGAGTTTGTTCTTTTATTTAGAATTCGCAGCAACGCGTTTCTTGCCATCCTTTTCATCATATGGTTTATTATGTTAGGCTTCATAATGATTAGACAGTCGTACAATTGCAATATATGTACGTACTTTTAGTTTTTACACTCAAATGTTATCTCCTTTACAATATATTTCTTAGGATAAATGTTTTTTTAACAATTAGATAACCCAACAACATTTTGCGTTTCTCTATATGATTCTGAAACTGTGTGCAAATGTTGAAAAGAATAATTGCTAGCATAGGTTGAGAAAAAAATAAATAAATAGTTTATGGCGCCATTAACTGCTAATTGTGTGCTTGATTTTGTTTAATTAAAATTCTGAGTCATACACAGCAAAAAGATTTAAACAAGATGAAAAGTGTTCAATTAACAATGCGAGCAGGCTATATCTGCTCCCGACAATTGAATAAATAAGTTGTATTTAAACACACCTGCATACACAGTAACAGAGATAATTTCTTTAGACGAAGACTACAAACTACTGTTAGCTTTGGTTAATTTCAATCCGAACTCCAAGTACACTGCCTATTTTCTTTAGGCATATATTGTGCTTTTTTTTTTTTTTTT